GCCGTGGGTGCATGGCACCGATGCCCCGCGAGGATGGCCATGACCTCTGCCCTGTGTGTAAGTAAGTAGTAAGTAAGTAAGTAATTATTTATATACCGCCTTTTCACTGCAGAGCTGAGTCTCAAAGCGGTTTACAATTGTTATTTTTTTTGGGCACTTGTCTCTCACTCCACACAGAGATGGGAGCGGGGTCGCCAGTACAGGAGGCGCATGCCAGAACTATTTTACATATTTTTAGCGGTAGGGGAAACCGGAGTACCCGGAGGAAACCTACGCAGACACGGGGAGAACATGCAAACTCCACTCAGAAAGGGCCTGGTCCGACCGGGATTCGAACCCAGGACCTTCTTGCTGAGAGGCGAGAGTGCTATCCACTCAGCCACCGTGCCTGGGTGTCGGGCCTTTGAGACAGGGCCAGATGGTGGACGCCTGCTCTAATTGTGCGGTACTGCCGCACTCTGTGCGCGTGGACCGCCTGGCGGCACTGGATCCGGATGGGGGTTCTTTGGAGGTGCCGCCCTGCCTGCCGCCTGCTGCCCAGCCTGCTGGGTCTAAGCGTGCGGCTGTGTCCACTGCTTCCTCGGGTCCGCAGAGGAAGCGTAGGGTGCCTGCAGGGTTGTCTGCACGTATGGACCACCTCGCGTCCGAGATGGCCCAAATGAACAGGATGTTCATCACGTGAACCACCTGGGGGGTACCCGGTCCATGACGCTGTTGCGGATGACCTGGGAGCTACTGCTGTGGGCGGCCCCTCGCTTGGCGAGATTGAGGGCCTCCTACATTCCGGGGGTGCACAATGTGGTGGCGGACCTTCTGTCCCGCCAACGCCCCCCAGCCTGGGGAGTGGCGTCTCCACCCGGAGGTGGTGGCCAGCATTTGGACCATGTTTAGCCAGGCCGAGGTGGATCTGTATGCGTCAGAGGCGTCGACCCACTGCCCGCTGTGGTTTTCCCTGGCGGACGTGGCTTGCCCTCTGGGCCTGGATGCGCTGGCGCACGATTGGCCCAGAACTCTGCTCTACGCTTTCCCCCCTCTACCACTGATTTTCCCGACGGTCCTGAGGGTTCTCCAGGAGGGGCACCACCTTCTCCTGGTGGCTCCGTTCTGGCCGGGCCGGATCTGGTTTCCATTGCTGCACAGGTTCTGCTGCGGCTCTCCGAGACCGCTGCCCCGACGGCGGGATCTCCTGTCCCAGCTGGAGGGGAGGCTCCTGCATCCCAGTCCCGAGCGGCTTCAGCTCTGGGTGTGGCCACTGAGGGGTCCAGCGCGATTGTCCCGAGGTATGGTGAGGGGTTCGCCCATACCATCTCTAAGGCCAGGGCGCCTTCCACTTGACGACAGTACGCCAATCGCTGGAAGCTGTTTGGCGAGTGGTGTCTAACGTGGGAACATGACGCTGTGCGTTTCCCGGTGCCTGCCATTCTGCAGTTCCTCCAGGATCTCATGGACTGGGGGCGCTCTCCCTCTACACTCAAGGTATATGTGGCGGCAATATCTTGTTTTCATGAGGGTGTGGTCGGTTCTCCGGTGGGGAGTAACAGGGATAATTCACTGTTCCTGAAGGGTGCTCGGCGGCTTCATCCACCGCGACGGCCCATGGTTCCGCCCTGGGACCTGACGTTGTTTCTGGAGGCGTTGCGGGCTCCCCCGTTTGAGCCCCTGGATCTACTGGACCTGAAGTGGGTCTCCCTGAAGACCGCTTTCCTTCTGGCTATGGCCTCGGGAATGTGAGTAAACTGCAGGCTCTGTCATTTCACGAGTCCTGCTGCAGATGGGATCCCAATGGTCTGGGGGTTACGCTTTGGCCGGATTCTTCCAACCGGCCAAAGGTGTTCGCTGGTGCGGTCCTTCCGCTTAGTTTGGGGCCTCTGTAGAACCGCTTTGTCCGGTCAGGGCATTGGAGGTTTATCGAACTACCACAACCGGTGTGCGGAGGTCTGATCGCCTCTTTGTGTGCTATGCCGGCCCCAGGAAGGGACAGGCTCAGTCGTCCCAGCGCCTCTCCAAGTGGGTTGTTGAGGTGATCAGACAGTGCTCCCTCTCCCATGGGCGCCAGCTGCCTGCTGGGGCGAGGGGTCATTCGACCGGGGCGTCTCTGCCTCCTGGGCTGCTATGAGCGGTGTGCCTCCTGGATGTTGCAGTCTACCTTTGCAACGTACTACAGGGTCAATGTGGCGGTCCCTGGTCCGCTGGAGGGGGTGCTGCGGCCCCATTCGACGTTATGAGGTGGGTGTGTAACTCTCGTTGACCCTTCGGGACCTTGTTGGTATTTGTCATCCAGTGCTTAAAGCACCGCCTCTGGCGGTCAACAAGGATGAAATAGAACAAAAGTTACGACTGTAACTACGGTTCTATGAATCCTGAATGACCGCCAGAGCGTCCAGTCCCTCAGGGCCACAGTCTGCTTGCGAGGTGAAAAGGGGCTGGGCTCTCGTGTCACGTGACCTATATAGACTCACGGGGGTCACGAGGAGGTCACAAGTGACTTTGTTGTCATTTAATTCTCGAACTGCGCATGCTCAAAGATGATCATTCAGTGCTTAAAGCACCGCCTCTGGCGGTCATCTGGATTCATAGGATCCGTAGTTACAGTCGTAACTTTCGTTTTACACTGGTCCAGACCAGAGCAGAGAAGATTCATGGTCCGAACCAAGTGGATCAGGTGAAAATTCACTGGACGAATGATAACTTTATAAAAAATGGTAACGAAGTATTTAGCATTTTACTTTGGGACCAGAGCAGAGAAAATGGTCTGAACCATTCGGCTCCATCTCTGCTGCTGTGACTTATTTTTGCTGCTCCTGAACACCTGAAGTACTCCTACGGGGATCAATAAAGTATCCATCTATCTATGAACATTTTAAATTGTTTCTAAAAAGGGCGTTGCCCGAGGACCAGGGGACATGAAGGGGGACTCAGAGTTGGCTGTCACACATAAAGAAACATAGACTTGTCAATGCTGCTTAAAGCAATAGTTTACACACCAGAAAGTCTCATTCCTTTGTGTACACACTCAGATAAATGTAGAGCTGCACACCTGAACCTAAACCACGGAATAATCTCAGCAGTATCAGCGGTCAACTGATGTAATTTAATATTAATCCACTAGATGTCGCCAGAATACTCCAACTCATAACTCCTGCTATACTAACATATTACCTTTAGTCGTTCTTTAGCTTTGCAAATAATACACAAACTGCTCCAAAAGACACACAACTGAACTGTTTTAAAGTCAGCACTAAAAACTAAAAGGTGTAAATGTATTAAAGACATTATTCACTGTTTCTTTTCTCAAACCTTCTTCTCAGTGAACAATTAAATCAGAAAGAATCTGGATTTTAAAATGTCTTTTGCAAGAACTTGCGAGTCGCGCACACTCAAGAAGTCGTACGACTTCTTGAGTGTGCAGAAAGGTGCTGTATAAAACCAATGCTTTATCATTATTATTATTATTATAATTTTCATTATTATTATTATTATTATTGTTATTGTTGTCCGTGAGTAACCTTGCCTGCAAGCTGAATTCTCACGGTATTTGTGAGTTCACAAACACTCGAGAATACCGCTCCCGCCAACCCTTTTCGAGTAGAACATCTAGGTGTTCAAGCCAATCATGCGCCAGTCTGGGGGTTTAGGGCGGGATATCCGTGTTTGACGAAAGCAAGAAGTGCCGGGCCGAAGCAAAACAAACATGGCTACGCACGAGGACGGACGCGTAGCTGAGGCTATCAAGTCAGTTTTAGCAGAATCTCCAATTTCTTTTTTGAAAGATGAACAGCGAGAGGCGCTTTGTGCATTTCTGGACGGCAAAGATGTTACCGGGATTGGTTTAAGTCAAACCTTGGGAGGCGGGCACACAGCGTCACTTCGCCCAATCAGCTTGAAGTATTCTGCTGCTTATCCCTCCTTTCCCTGAAAGGATTCTCCTGCAGAAGTCCCAGATTGATATTGTGGAGAACGCATTAGAGTTCTACACAATCATCAATCTGGCTTTTGCCAGGTTAGTCTGTGAGGTTGGCCCCCATCATCTTCATCATAATAACCATATATAGTTTTTAATAAAAATATGTTGATCCTTTGTGCTACGTTTGTGCTGTTTTTGAGATATTAAGGATTCTTTTATAGGTCAATCTGAGGTCATTCATATTGCTCAAAAATGCTCAAAATGGATGAAAATTGGGTCAATCGTTTGTGTTATTGTTGTTTTTAACATGTTAATAATTTAATTGTTTGACAATGACGTCATACACAATGCACAGAATGAGCACATTTCATGTGTGAACAGTGTGAATCCAGTGGGTCCCAGTGTTGACCCCAGAGGGACCCCTCCCTCCTGCTGATCAGGGCTGCTCCCTCTGTACCATACTCTCTAAACGTGTCTCATTACTGCAGCTTTCACACGCTATCTTTACCGGGACATGAATGATTTGGCAGCGTGGTGCAGGCTGAGGAAAACATCCACTGATGAATAACTTGAGCAGCAGTCCAAGCATTTATAATAATGAGCCACAGGGGGCGCTGTTCTTTAGCGTTAAAATGAGTTCTGTTGCAGCTTAGGGCTCCTGCAGGAGCCTCTGGAGGAGGAGAAGCCTCTGGAGGAGAGTTAAGGTCAGAAGTGAATATAGAAGTATATGGAATATAAAAGACCACAAGAAGTATTTAACTAGAAAACAGGAAGTACTTTGTGGAGACTCTGAACTGTGTTCATATGGTGCTGAGTGCCACAGGGGTCAATCCTGGGACCTCTTCTGTTCATCTCTACTGCTGCTGTTAGCAGGAGGACATGGACCAGACTGGACCAGACTCAGTTCTACAGGAGGACATGGACCAGACTCTGTCTTACAGGAGGACATGGACCAGACTCAGTTCTACAGGAGGACCAGACTCAGGTCTACAGGAGGACATGGACCAGACTGGACCAGACTCAGGTCTACAGGAGGACATGGACCAGACTCAGTCCTACAGGAGGACATGGACCAGACTCAGTCCTACAGGAGGACATGGACCAGACTCAGTCCTACAGGAGGACATGGACCAGACTCAGTCCTACAGGAGGACATGGACCAGACTCAGGTCTACAGGAGGACATGGACCAGACTCAGTCCTACAGGAGGACATGGACCAGACTCAGTCCTACAGGCGGACAGGGACCAGACTCAGTCCTACAGGTGGACATGGACCAGACTCAGTCCTACAGGAGGACAGGGACCAGACTCAGTCCTACAGGAGGACAGGGACCAGACTCAGTCCTACAGGTGGACATGGACCGAGACTATATTATTTCAGATCTACAAAAATGCTGATGACTGCTGCTGACTTCTGTGATTTGGGGGAATACAAGAACACATTGTATTGTATCAAACTGGGCCTGATGGTGTTGATGGTGTTGAGGGAACACTCTGTTCTGGTTTATGGCTTTAGTGCCTGTATTTCAGTTTACGACTCTCTTTATTTTATCCTCAAACCTCAGTCTGAGAGCTTCTGGACCGGAGGTAAGACCTCCTCACACCTCCTCCTCTGTACCTCTGGTCTTATTCTGGTCCTGGTCTGGTCTTATTCTGGTCCTGGTCTGGTCTCAGACTGGGGTCTAACCTTTGCTACACACTTGTTGTATCAGACTGAGGAACAAGTCTGATGCAGATCTCTTCCTGGCAGAGGTCTGTGCTCTACGAGTGTCTGGACTCTCCCCTGCACAGATCTGAGCGGGCACTGAGGAATGCAGCCTCAGAATCAATCATTAAAGTTTCTTCAAACACAAACTTTACTCATTAGTCTGACCCTGGCTCTTCTTCTGACCCCTACAGCCTCAGGTGGGAGTGTGTCGGAGGAGAGAGAGACCACAACAACCAGAGAGAGTGAGACCACAACAACCAGAGAGAGAGACACCAGAGAGAGAGAGACCAGAGAGAGAGAGAGACCACAACAACCAGAGAGAGAGAGACCACAACAACCAGAGAGAGTGAGACCACAACAACCAGAGAGAGAGAGACCACAACAACCAGAGAGAGTGAGACCACAACAACCAGAGAGAGAGACACCAGAGAGAGAGAGAGACCAGAGAGAGAGAGACCACAACAACCAGAGAGAGAGAGACCAGAGAGAGAGAGATCATAGGGAGAGACTAAAGAGAGACACCAGCCTGAGTATGGAGCAGTGTGAACCTAAAGCAGGGGTGTCCTTCCCTGGGTCTGGCCTCATGGATCAAAAGCAGGATTGGTCTGGGTCCAGGTCTGAGTCCAGGTCCGGGTCCTGGGGCTGGAGGTCTCTGAGGCCCCGGTCTCTGCAGGTCTTGAACAGTCCCGGCTGGGCCCTGTTCTTCCTGTCTGTGGCCTCGTTCTTGCAGGGCCTGGTCATCAACGGTCTGGTCAACACGGTGGTGACGACCATCGAGCGGCGCTTCGGCCTCAGCAGCGAGCAGAGCGGCCTGATGGTCAGCTCCTTCGACATGGCCTCCTGCCTCTCCCTGCCCCTGGTCAGCTTCTGTGGGGGCAGGGGGCACAGGCCTCGCTGGCTGGGCTGGGGGGTGCTGGTCCTCGGGGTGGGCTCCCTGCTGTTCGCTCTGCCACACTTCACCGCAGGACCGTACCAGGCCTCAGCCCAGGACCAGGACCAGCTGTGCTCTCCCAACAGGACTGGGTCTGGATCCGGGTCCGGGTCTGGGTCTGGGTCGGACTCGGGGTACGTGTATGTGTTTGTCCTGGGGCAGCTGCTCCATGGTCTCGGGGCGACTCCTCTGCTCACTTTAGGATTCACTTTTCTGGACGAGAACGTGGCACCGCCCAACGCTCCACTTTACATGGGTGAGTCTGTGTCTCTGTGTCTGTCTCTGTGTCTGTGTCTCTGTGTCTGTCTCTGTGTCTGTCTCTGTGGCTGTGTCTGTCTCTGTGTCTGTCTCTGTGTCTGTCTCTGTGTCTGTCTCTGTGTCTGTCTCTGTGTCTGTCTCTGTGTCTGTGTCTGTCTCTGTCTCTGTGTCTGTCTCTGTGTTTGTCTCTGTGGCTGTGTCTGTCTCTCTGTCTGTCTCTGTGTCTCTGTGTATGTCTGTCTCTGTGTATGTCTCTATGTCTGTCTCTCTCTGTCTCTGTGTCTGTCCCTGTGTCTGTCTCTGTGTCTGTCTCTGTGTCTGTCTCTATGTCTGTCTCTGTGTCTGTCTCTGTGTCTGTCTCAGTGTTTGTCTCTGTGTCTGTCTCAGTGTTTGTCTCTGTGTCTGTCTCTGTGTTTGTCTCTGTGTCTGTCTCTGTGTCTGTCTCTGTGTCTGTCCCTGTGTCTGTCTCTGTGTCTGTCTCTGTCTCTGTGTTTGTCTCTGTGTCTGTCTCTGTGTCTGTGTTTGTCTCTGTGTCTGTCTCTGTGTCTGTCCCTGTGTCTGTCTCTGTGTCTGTGTCTGTGTCTGTGTTTGTCTCTGTGTCTGTCTCTGTCTCTGTGTCTGTCTCTGTGTCTGTCTCTGTCCCTGTGTCTGTCTCTGTGTATGTCTCTGTCTGTGTGAGAGTCAGGAGCAGAGCAGGAGGTTCCAGGAAGTACATGCAGCAGGGGTCAGGTCTTGGTCAGTTCAAGTCTTGATCTGGATCTTTGTCTAGTCTTGGTCTGGTCTGGGTCTGGTCTGGGTCTGGGTCTTAAACCCCAGTGCTCTGTCCTCAGGTCTCTTCTACACAGCCGCCATGTTGGGTCCTTCGGTCGGTTTCCTGCTCGGGGGATACTTCCTCAGCTTTTACTCTGAAGTCACAAACACGTAAGTACAGACCCGGACCCGGCCCAGACCCGGCCCAGACCCGGCCCAGACCCAGACCCAGACCCAGACCAAGACCATGACTAAGACCAAGACCAAGACCATGACTAAGACTCAATGAGAGGAGCCTCAGACAGGGGGAGGAGCCTCGGACAGTGGGAGGAGCCTCAGACAGGGGGAGGAAACCCGGACAGTTGGCAGAGCCATAGGCAGTGGGAGGAGCCTCAGACAGTGGACGAAGCCTCAGGTAGTCGGAGGAGCCTCAGGCAGTGGGCGGAGACTCAGGCTGTGGGAGGAGCCTCAGACAGGGGGAGGAGCTTCAGGCAGTGGGCGGAGACTAAGATTGTGCGAGGGGCCCCATACAGGGGGAGGAGCCTCGGACAGTAGGAGGAGCATCAGGCAGGGGGAGGAGCCTCACAGTGGGAGGAGCCTCAGACAGTGGGCGGAGACTCAGACAGTAGGTGGAGCCTCAGACTGTGGGAGGAGCCTCAGACAGTAGGCGGAGCCTCAGACTGTGGGAGGAGCCTCAGTGATAAGTGTGTGTGGTTCTGCCTCAGCACAGACCTCAGTCCCTCCAGCCCCCTCTGGGTCGGCGCCTGGTGGATCGGCTTTGTTTTGGGAGGAGCTCTGTGTCTGCCAGTGGGACTCTTCCTCCTGGGGTTCCCCTCCAAACTACCAGGTGAGACCAGAGAGAGACCAGAGAGACTAAGAGAAGAGAGACCAGAGAGAGGTTTCTGAAATGAGCAACATTCAAATAAATGTTTTTTTTTTCTCTTTTTATTCTACTCCTCTGTGTCTCCTGCAGGCTCCCAAGGGCCAGGAGCCAAAGAGCCCAGAGAGGAGAGACCCAGAGAGGAGAGACCCCGAGAGGAGAGACCCCGAGAGGAGAGACCCCGAGAGGAGAGACCCCGAGAGGAGAGACCCCATGAGGAGAGACCCAGAGAGGAGAGACCCCATGAGGAGAGACCAAGAGAGGAGAGACCCAGAGAGGAGAAGGCCTTGGGAAGAGCTCTCAGAGACATGCCAAAGTAAGAACACACTTCAGTAATGTTGTTGTGATGTCACCATTTTGTCACATTAAGCAAAACACAAACACACAGCGGCCATGGACAGGTCCGGTGCAGGACATAGGCACTCCCAGGCGGGTCGGGCGGGGCAGTCCGCAGGTGTAGATGGAGGAGGCCAGGCTCAGAGGTCCCGTCATCGTACCATGAAACAGACAATGGGACAACGGGTGAATAGCAATGAACAGACTACAGTCAAAATCCTAATAATGCAAAACAGATAAAGTAGGAAGGAGGATAGTGCTGTTACCAGACTTCTCCAGCAGGGGGCTCCATACGCAGCTTGCATCAAAGAAAGTGTGTAATCCACGATATATAGTAAAAAGGTTGAAGATGCAGCGGACCGGGTTCATGTTAAAGATTCATCAAAGAAACAAATATCTCTGGTCTCTCACAGTCCTCTCTCTGGTCTCTCTCTGGTCCCTGGTCTCTCACAGTCCTCTCTGGTCTCTCTCTGGTCCCTGGTCTCTCACAGTCTTCTCTGGTCTCTCTCTGGTCCCTTGTCTCTCACAGTCCTCTCTCTGGTCTCTCTCTGGTCCCTGGTCTCTCACAGTCCTCTCTGGTCTCTCTCTGGTCCCTGGTCTCTCACAATCCTCTCTGGTCTCTCTCTGGTCCCTGGTCTCTCACAGTCCTCTCTCTGGTCTCTCTCTGGTCCCTGGTCTCTCACAGTCCTCTCTGGTCTCTCTCTGGTCCCTGGTCTCTCACAGTCCTCTCTGGTCTCTCTCTGGTCTCAGATCTCTGGTGCTGCTGCTGAAGAACCCTACCTTCCTGTGTCTGTCTCTGGCTGGAGCCGCGATGGCCGGTCTGCGCTCGGTTCTGGGGTCCTTCACACCCAAGTACTACGAGGCCCAGTTCAGACTCAGCTCTTCACAAGCAGCTTTCATCTGTGGTGAGTCCAGAAGGAGACTGAGGCTGTAGACCCAGGACTGAGGCTGTAGACCCAAGACTGAGGCCGTAGACCCAAGACTGAGGCCGTAGACCCAAGACTGAGGCTGTCGATCCAGGACTGAGGCTGTGGACCCAGGACTAAGGTTGTAGATCCAGGACTGAGGCTGTAGATCCAGGACTGAGGCTGTAGACCCAGGACTGAGGCTGTAGACCCAGGACTTAGGCTGTAGACCCAAGACTGAGGCCGTAGACCCAAGACTGAGGCTGTAGATCCAGGACTGAGGCTGTAGACCCAGGACTGAAGACCCAGGACTGAGGCTGTAGACCCAGGACTGAGGCTGTAGATCCAGGACTGAGGCTGTAGATCCAGGACTGAGGCTGTAGATCCAGGACTGAGGCTGTAGATCCAGGACTGAGGCTGTAGACCCAGGACTGAGGCTGTAGACCCAGGACCGAGGCTGTAGACCCAGGACTGAGGCTGTAGACCCTGGTCCTCTCTCCTCAGGCATGGCCTCGTTCCCTGCGACCGTCGGGGGGAGCTTCGGAGGCAGTTTCGTGGTGAAAGTGTTTCGGCTCCGGAGCCTCGGCATCATTCGCTTCTGCCTCCTGTGCTCAGTGGCCAACGCTCTGCTCCTCCTGGTCTTCCTCATTCACTGCCCCACGGTCAGGCTCGCCGGGGTCACTGCACCCTATGCACCAGGTGAGACCAGAGACCAGAGAGAGACCAGAGAGAGACCAGAGAGAGACCAGAGAGAGACCAGAGAGAGACCAGAGAGAGAGACCAATGCGAGAGACCAGAGAAGGACCAGTGATAGACCAGAGAGGGACCAGAGAAGGACCAGTGATAGACCAGAGAGAGACCAGCGAGGGACCAGAAAGAGACCAGAGAGAGACCAGAGTGAGAGACCATAAAAAGAGACTTGAGAGAGACCAGTGAGGGACCAGTGAGAGACCATAGAGAGACCAGTGAGGGACCAGAGAGACCAGAGAGAGAACAGTGAGGGACCAGAAAGAACAGAGAGAGACTAGAGAGAGACCAGGGAGAGAGACTAGAGAGAGACTAGACAGAGACCAGAGAGAGACCAGAGAGAGAGACCAGACAGAGACCAGAGAGAGTATTCACCAGTGTTTCCCAACCAGTGGTGTGTGGCACGTGTTTTTTTAAATCATCCACTTTCATTGGTTCAACTTTTTTTTTTTAAAGAACTAGAAAAAGAAGACGATATTTTGTTTTTGGCTCCAGCTGATGGTGTTTGCACTGAGGGGGGTTGGGGACCACTGGTACATACCATCAGCACAGGGAACCATCCTCTCTAATCAAAGTCCTGTCTCTGACCTCAGATCCGGATCAGGACCAGTCTCTGCAGCAGACCAGGTGAGACACGCCACAGTTCAAACATGTTCAAACCAGTCTTTATGGTGTGTGTGGATACATGGTCTGTGAGAGTCTGGTATGAAATATGATCTCAGAAGGTTTGATACTGGACCCTCAGCCACCAGAGAGAGGTCCAAGTCTTCTCAAGTTCCAGGTCTCTGTCCTTTCCAAGTCCTCTCCAGGTCCAGGTCCTCTGAAGGATGGAGGTGAGATTGACAGACGATCGGTGCGGCTTCTGCAGTGATGTGGTCGCTGTATTAGACTGTTGTGGTGAAGAGAGCCCTATGAGCGTTGGGGAGGATGGAGAAACAGCAGGCACATGGGAGGAGCTCGGGGTAGAGCCACTACCCGAACATCAACTCCACAGTGTCTGTCTCTCTCTGGTGTTCCCAGATAGTCCCTGCAGCTCTGGTCTCAGTGTAATGGTCCCTGCAGCTCTGGTCTCCGTGTAATGGTCTCTGTCTCCCCCTGGTGTCCCCAGATGGTTCCTGCAGCTCTGGTCTCCGTGTAATGGTCTCTGTCTCCCCCTGGTGTCCCCAGATGGTTCCTGCAGCTCTGGTCTCCGTGTAATGGTCTCTGTCTCCCCCTGGTGTCCCCAGATGGTCCCTGCAGCTCTGGTCTCAGTGTAATGGTCTCTGTCTCCCCCTGGTGTCCCCAGATGGTCCCTGCAGCTCTGGTCTCAGTGTAATGGTCTCTGTCTCCCCCTGGTGTCCCCAGATGGTCCCTGCAGCTCTGGTCTCAGTGTAATGGTCTCTGTCTCCCCCTGGTGTCCCCAGATGGTTCCTGCAGCTCTGGTCTCCGTGTAATGGTCTCTGTCTCCCCCTGGTGTCCCCAGATGGTCCCTGCAGCTCTGGTCTCAGTGTAATGGTCTCTGTCTCCCCCTGGTGTCCCCAGATGGTCCCTGCAGCTCTGGTCTCAGTGTAATGGTCTCTGTCTCCCCCTGGTGTCCCCAGATGGTCCCTGCAGCTCTGGTCTCAGTGTAATGGTCCCTGCAGCTGTGATGGACAGGTCTTCAGTCCAGTTTGTGGAGACGATGACCTCATGTTCTTCTCTCCATGTTTCGCTGGATGCAGCTCCAGCAACAGCAGCTCCGGGAAACAGGTGATGTCACACTACACAGTGATGTCACACTGTGGTGATGTCACACTACAGTGATGTCACACTGTGGTGATGTCACATGTGGTGATGTCACTCTCCTAATACTCTGACCCTAACCCTGAGCATGGATTCCTTCCTGGTCACTCAGTTACAATGTTCTGATACAGGACTGAGCCACAGGGGGCGCTGTAGAGCTGCAGACACAGACAAATCCATCAACATCTAGTTACATAACACAAGTGTGTGTGTGTGTGTGTGTGTGTGTGTGTCTGTGTGTGTGTGCACTTGTTTTCAACTCCTGGTGGGTTCCATAACCTGAGATTCCACTCACGTCATGGGGACTGGTTTTACGTGGTGGGGCCCGAACACCGGACCCCACTGGTCCAAGCTTAATAATCAATGGGTAATGCTTTTCTAACGGTCCTTATGCAGTCTCTGTAAAAATATGGAAAGGACCCCTGGAGGTTTACTTTCCTGAAAAAAGTGTGTTATGTGTCGGAACCCTGGTGGTGGGTTGCGGGATATCAAGGAGGGGCACACTGGGGCAATTTCAGTCCAGCAGGCTGGAGCCAATCATGGAGCAGCACAACAGAGGAAATCAGGTGTCAGGCTAGAAAAAGGTGCAAGTGTGTGGTTCATTAGGCTGCAAGAAATCATGGAGGAGCACACTGAAGCGCACGCTTACAAACCACTGGTAAGTGCTGACTACAAGTCATGACTTCAAATTGTTATATAGAATGATTACAAATTATTTGTTGTTTGTGCAGCTTAGTCAAGAGTCCCTAATTGATGAAGTCGACTCAGATTCTGACGATTTAACTGTCAAGAAGAAACCTGTAAAAAAGTATGGAAAAAGAAAAATCAAAAACACTTTTCTTCAAGACTCGGAAAGTGACGAACCAAAGGCAAATAAGATTGTTATCATGCAGCTGCAAAAGAAGAAAAATGGGGGGCGAGTTTACAGCAAGAGACACTTCTGCCTCTACTGTTCAATGTCCTGCCACAAAATGTCCCGTCATTTGACTAGAAAACATGGAAATGAAAGTGACGTAGCCAGAGCATTGGCTCTACCTGTGAAATCTAAAGCACGTAAACTTCAGTTTGATTTGATCAGGAATAGTGGAAACCGTGAGCACAATGTTGAGGTTTTAAAGGCCGGCATTGGAACTTTAGTCCCAGCTAAACAGCCAAATTGCCCAGTTAAATCCAGTGAGTTTTTGCACTGTATAGACTGTGGGGCATTGCTTAAGCGAAAGTCGCTGTGGAGGCATGTGGCCAGGTGCCGGCTTTCACAGAAAGATGCCCAGGCTAAACCAGGTAGAAGTAGGGTCCAGTCCCTCTGCTCCCTAGCCCAGCCTGTACCGGAGGGCATCAGCAAAAAGCTGTGGTCTTTAATTTCGGCAATGCATCAGGATGAGGTCACGGGTGTTGTCAAAGCAGAAAAGGGGATTCTGAGACTCGGAGAGCACCTGTACTTAAAACACGGGCATGATAAAGACTAAGCATGATTACATTAGGCAGAAAATGAGAGAAGTCGGTAGGTTAATTAACGAAGCAAAAACCGCAGGGAAACTGAAAACAATTAAGGATTTCTTTATTCCTTCCAACTTTAACCATGTGATTGATGCAGTCAGGTCTGTGGCTGGATATGATGAGGAAACAAATCAATACAAGACTCCATCCTTGGCCCTCAAACTCGGCCATAGCCTCAGAAAGCTAGCAGATATTCTTGAATGTGACTCAAAAATGGAGCATTGTGTTGATGAACTATTTATTAAAAACCTCCAACGAAGCCGGCTGCTTTTTGAGAAGAGGTGGGACGTCTGTGTTTCTTCTGCTGCCCTACAGACCCTCCGGCAAGCCAAGTGGAACACTCCGGACCTGCTCCCTCTGACTGAGGACGTTAGAGCCATGCATGCACATATTGAGGTATGTCGACCTGAATATGTGCAAACCCTAATAAGTGAGCCAACGTCTAAGCATTGGTCTAAACTGGCAGTTTTGACTCTTTGTGAGGTCATCATTTTCAATCGAAGAAGGGAAGGTGAGGTTTCAAAGATGCCACTGACAGCCTTTACCTTAAGAAGTAAGACTGGGATCCATTCTGACATTGCTCTGGGACTGTCCCAACTTGAGAAAAAGCTGTGTCAGCATTTTCAACGCATTGAAATTAAAGGGAAAAGAAGTCGGAAAGTGCCGGTTCTTTTGACTCCTGAAATGATTGCTTCGATGGAGGTGCTGGTGGAGAACAGAAGGGCCTGTTCCATCTCTGACCATAACCCATACTTCTTTTCCCGCCCGGGCGCAGACACCCACATCAGGGGATCAGACTCCCTACGCCAGGTAGCCAAAGAATGTGGTGCGGTGCATCCAGAGATGCTATCCTCAACCAAACTTAGAAAGCACATAGCTACTATGTCTACAGTTCTCAATATGAAAGAGAATGAGATGGACATACTTGCCAACTTCCTCGGCCATGACATTCGCATCCACAGACAATATTACAGACTACCAGAGGGGACACTGGAGCTGGCCAAAATCAGCAAAGTGTTGATGGCCATGGAGCAGGGAAGAGTGACGGAATTCGAAGGAAAGAGCCTCGACCAGATACAAATTGAGCCTGAAGGTAATTCTTGATATTATTAAAATATGTATGATTTTTTTCCCCTAAAGGCCACTTGTATTTTTATTTTCTGTGCGACAGGGAGAGCAGTAGAGATCCTCTCACAAACGGACGGGCTAAAAGAAACTTCAAGCGGAGAACCTTCAACCATTCATCCAGATGCACCCCATGGTAGTGGCAGTGCCCCTTCTGGTAAGTGTACCAGGTGGGGGATTACAGCCAGGCTGCTTGGTCCTAACCCTGGGAGTGTATATTGCTAATATATTTTTATTTCTCTCCCTAGAACGTGTAAGAAAGCCATGGTCTGCATCTGAGGTGAAGGCTGTGGAGAAGACCATGACACCTTTCATACAGACTGGAAAGGTCCCTGGGAAGTCTCACTGCCTGGCCTGCATTAATGCCTCACCAGATGACCTTAGACATCGGACATGGAGTGGAATTAAATTCTATGTCAAAAATAGAATCACTGCAATTCGAAAACAAAATCTAAAATAAAATTCCTTTAAAATAGTTGTTTGGTTTCTATTGACTGTTTTGTATTACTTAAAGTAGTCCCAGTAAAAAAAGATTATGTCTATGGGTCCCATTCTGAACGGCCCTGTCAAAGGGACCCACCAGGTAGCAAAAACGTGTATGTGTGTGTCTGTGTGTGTGTGTGTGTGTGTTTGTTTTCTGGTTTACGAGGCCGATTTTCAAGACTTTTCTCCGAGTAAGGAGGACCCTCCGGTTTAGGAAGACATTTTACTGTCCTCATAAAAATTACATTCTAAATCGTTTTCTATGCATTTTTTAATGCCTAAAAAGTGGTTTTCTCAAAAGTCTTTTTAATCCAGAAACCTGAGAAAAGTGGTAAATTTGTGTGTCCGCCACTGCCCCTAGTGGTGGGTTTCTCCCGCGCGGGAAAAAGGGGAATTATACACAACCGCGGGAAAATATACACACACACACAAAGTCAGCACTGCGCATGCTCCGTGGGGAAGGACAACAGAGCGTCTTTTCTGTCAAGGGGAAGTTTATGCATTTCTGCAGTAATTATACATCCACAAAGGAGACAGGAGAGGAGCAGCCGCGCAGAGGGACACAGGGCATGGAGAGACACCCGCACGGAGGTAGGAGAGAGTTTTCACTGTCACCACATAGCACAAAGCAGCCTAGTTTAGCAGCAGAGCTAACGCGAATGTGTGCTGCAGCCACTTGTTCAGAAAATCTACAGCAACTATATTGTCCACAGAGGAGACAGGGCCGTGGTGAGTCAATACTGGGAAGAGTTACAGCTGGCCACAGTTTGTTTAGCACAAAGTATCCTAGATTAGCTGCGGAGCTAAGTGGCTAACGCCCTGTTTATGCATACTACATAATGCCTATTGCTTTTATAAGGCCAGTTAGAAGACTACAATTATAAGAACAATAGAGATAAGACATTTGAGGTATTTATTATGATGCACTTTTTGCAGAAATCATACAAATAGGCTTTGATTATCCATTAATGGCAAAGGGCATAGCATAATCCTTATGCCATAAAATTATAAATGTCCCATTTAGTCCACATAGTCCATAACCTCCAACATCTGCTTCCACTGGGATGTGAGTGACTTGATGATGAAATAACAATAGTATAATAATCACTAGTACCTTCCATTTGCATGGAAATGCTTGTTAATTAAAATGTTTTAGTTTCATTAAATTATATACATCTGTATTCTTAATAGAAATAAAATAATAGGCCTACTGTGTTCCTTAAAGCTTAAAAGAGATGTGTTCCCCGGTAAGGGGCTGTTTTGGCGATAGTATGTTATTACTGTAGGGCAGTGTCTCCCAAAGTGGGGTCCGCGGCCCCCTGGTGGGCCGCGAGGGTACTGCAGGGGGGCCGCGGGAGGTCATAAAAAATATATATATATATATAATTATTTAATGTTAAATTTATAATGTTTTGTTTGTAATATTAAAATATTTGTGTTCATTATTTGACTTGAATAATCCACTGTAATCATTTTTGTATTACAATGTTTGTAGCAAAGGCTATTTCCCCAAAATAAAATAACCAGAAGAGCCTATTCTTAATGTTGTCTTCTTGGTTATTATTTTGGGGGGCCACGCAGACCCGTCAGATTTTTAAGGGGGCCTCGGTGTTACTGAGTTTGGGAATGGCTGCTGTAGGGTATATTATATAACCTGCATGTATTAGGTCTATAATAGTCTATTAGAATTAATATAATTTAATCATTCATAATGTGCTCCTCTGGACTCTCCACCTGCAGGAGGATCAGTGAGGGGCTGGTGCTCTGGGTGCAGCTCTGACTGGGGAAGAAAATGGATGGATATTTCTCCCACAAGTAAGTAAGTACACAGCCATGCAGGTGAGATGCAGTGTTACAACAACACTGTCTAAACCAGGACTGATTTAACTTGAGAGTTTTGATTTGAGCTTCAAAACACTGCTTCAAACTTGATGACTAGGGAAATGTTTTGTGAATGTTAAGAGGACAGAAGTAATTTACTGTTTGAAAAACTATGAGAGGAACCAGAGAGTCGAGTCCTGCAGCGGGACATCAGGGAGTCCTCTTTTGAGGTTAGCTTATTTATGGCTGTTTGTTAAAGAAATAAGTCCCATTGTTTTACAATAGCTAATAAAAGAAGTATTCGTCCCCACTGTGGGACAAATAAAGGAATTCTTATATTATCTTAACCCTTTAAGCGCCAGAGGTTTTTTTCCAAAACGCTCAATTTTGACATCTTAATTTCAAAAGGCTATAACTTAAAAGTGATAAGAGATAAAGGCTTTCTGTAAATTAGAAAAATATAAAGGATGGTCCAAAGTGTATGTAGAGAATAAATCCCCCCATCTAATTTGCATATTATGACGTCATTTGGCGTTAGAAATAGTGGATTTTAGAATTTTCATACAATATTTGTATTTTTCTAACTGACAGACATATATTTATCACTAGAACATGAACACACACAGAGCACACACTGTAACATTGTAAATGTTCATGAAAATAGTAAAAAAATATAAATCATGATGCTGCTGTGAGCAGTCTGCCCAGACGCGCGCGTCACTGCGACCCTCCTGCTGCTGCTGTCTCCCCCACTCTCTCTCTCTCATCTCCCCTGCTCTCTCTCGTCTAACACACACAAGACAAGGCTTCTACAACACATTACTGTCCTGGTGATTACGTGAGGCTTGAAAATAAATATGTGGGAAGCACTTTTAGCGGAGACTTTGGCGGAAACTTCAGCGGAGGCTGGAGGTCGCGGCGCGGCGCCCCGACCGGAGTTCCAGGCTTGTTTTCCGCAAATCTAACCTGTCTCCGAACCTCCCAATGACTTTGCCTTACTCTAAGAAACACTGTTCCCACTGCAGACCCTGTGCAAAGTGTCTAAAGTTAGTGTTTGGTCCGGTACAACACTCGCAGGCTGCCCCGCAGCTGCATTCGCTTCGCTATGATTTCTGCACTGGTTCAACGCGGTCTTGCTCGAATATTTTGTATAGGAGCATGACGTTTTTAGGGGCCAGGGAGGTAGTCTGACATGTCTGCTAACTAGTGGCAGGGAGTATGAATGAATTTTGACACTCGGTTGGTCACACTTGGCCGTTTTTAACAGTACCGCAGCTTGTCGACTTAAGTCGACCGTGGCGCCTAGAGGGTTAAGTAGGTCAAAGCATCATCACAGTCCAAAGGCATAGTTTTAAAGGTTCCATATTACGCTTTTCTTCATATTTCACAGTCCATCCTATGCACATGTGTGATAATGATTTGACTTGTGAGATTATAGCCATCTCTCCATCACAGAAACAACATGATTACAGAGATCCTGAGCATTACAATGATTTATAACCTATGTTGGCAGAGCTGATGTTGGCTAGATGACATTGAAAATGTGTATATTGTTACATATCAAGACAGAGAGGGCCCCAATAGGCCCCAGACCTCAATTTGGGTGTGGCTGGTGAAGATGATGTCCCAAGTTCACATGTGTATTTTTCTGTTCCTCTTGTTTAGACACAGCTCAGTGGTATAAGCCTCATTGCTGGACAACATGTTGCAGAGTTTGGTGACCACACAGTGACTTGGACCCTGATGTTCTCTCTGCAGACTTATCCAGAGGTAATACCTTACTTAACCCTCTTGTCGACAAGATGCAGTACTATTTAAAATGGCCATGCTCATATACAAAATAATTGAGCAAGACCGTGTTGAACCAGTGCCGAAATCATAGCGAAGCGAGTGCAGCTGCAGCAGCGTGCCAGTGTTGTACCGCAACAAACACAAACTTTAGACACTTTAAACACTTCAGACGCTCAGTGTCAGTTGGAACAGTGTTTCTCAGGGTCAGGGCGGTCATTTGGAAGTTCGAAGAAAGGTTAGATTTGCGGAGAACAAGACTAGGAGTCTAGACTGGGCGACAGTGGCTCACTTAGTAGAGCATTTGGTCTTTAAGGCTGAAGCTCGTGGGTTCGAGCCCACCACGAGACCTACTTCACGACTCCCACTGGTGATTGCTGTCATTTTGTCCTTGGGCAAGACACATAACCCCACTTTGCCTAAATCCCCCACTCAAAAATCAAGGCTCCTATGGACTCACTACCTGCAGGAGGATCAGGGAGGGGCTGGTGCTCTGTGAACTGGGTGTAGCTCTGACTGCCACCCCCCTGACCCAGAAATGGATTAAGGGGAAGATGATTGATGGATGGATGATTAGAAGTCAGTGCCCTGACGTCCAGCCTCCGCTAATAGTGTCATATTCACGGGGCGGCAGTAACGTTGGACGAGATAGAGAGAGCAGGGTTTGGGCCATCCTTAATTGTTATAATTTACAGAAATCCTCAATCTCTTATCACTTTTAAGTTATAGCATTTTAAAAATAAGATTAAAAGATCGAGCATTTTAGATAAAACCTTAGCTACTCCTGGTAAAAACACCTGGTCTTGCTAAGCATTGTGCCTTCATATCATGTGTTCTCCTCAACAGACGCTGAACTGAAAGTGAAGAGTCAGACAGCCCTGCGCAACAGGTTAGTTCTGCTGCTTAATTTTGGATGCATGATGTTTAGAAACTATGGTTTGTAAGGGACATATTTACTTTAACCCTCTATGCACATGGGTCATTTTGGGGAACTTTCCTTGCCTGGTTTTCTTTGTGTATAATTGTTCATAAAACAGTCATCTTTTGATGCAGAGTCAAGCAGTATACTTTGTTTTTTTCAGTACAACCTGGGGTTTTAGAATATTCATATTGTAAAGCTGTCATATGAATTATATAAAAATTATGGAATCATGAAGACAAAGAAAAAAATCAAACGGAAAATCAATTTAACAAAAATGTATTGAATAAACACAATGAAATGCTATAAACAACTTTTTACACTGCATAGAAATGTTATTTATGGTCTTGGGGACAATGGGGAAAAAAATTGAATCTCTAACTATTATACTTTTTACAAAATTCCACTATAAAAGCAAAAAACTCTGTACTCCTGATGCCCTTCCTGAAGCAGTTTGTCTATAATGCTGGGGTTGCTTCTGTAGTACAGCTGTAAAAAACGTAAAAAATAAGAAACTGAGCCAAAAAAAAAAAAACATCAATTATTTATATAATACATATATTTATATACATCATATACACATAATGTCATTTTACTGTATGTATTATCGTCTTTATCAATAATCCGCACTCTTCAGCCGGTTATTGCAATCGCAGCTGTAGTTCCAACTGTGGGACAACAAGTAAACGCAGAGGAGTGAGACATCTCACTCTCTGACGATCTTTGGCAGTCCCCGTGTGTTTGTATCTCACAGCTGTTTGTACCTCACGGGTCACGCTTTGGACACAGACTTTCAGACAAACGTAGTTTATCCTCCGTGCATCGCACAGACAAATCAAAACTAGTTTCGGAAAGCCCTGAATACGTACTTCACAGAGGGAAAAAAAGTAAGTTGCTACGTTTTACCGTTCGCGAGTAAATTGATCATTTGTAAAACATGTGCGCGTGCATCGGCGCCGATGCACGCGGGCATATAGGGTTAAACACTTGGCTGCATCATTTAGAGTGTCATAAACTTAGGTTTGAGTGAGCGTGTCCCTTTAAGACATGTGAATATCTTACTCTGAGTAGTTAAATGTCTCATTTTCAGTTTCCGCATCGGCAAACACTCAAAGCAGTTGCGTAAAGTCATGGGAGCATGAAAATGTATATGTTCACAAGCACTATGTCCCCCATTGTCAACCCCGGTTTTAGTCCTGGTGTGGCTCCTGTTTTAGCCGTTGACAGTATGTTCAGTCTGCTTGCTCAGTCCGCTAATGTCCCCGTGACCACTTTGCGGCTCTCTCTCTCTGCGGATTAGTTGCTGCACGTACGTCCGAGGAAACGTTCAGCAATATTTATCTCCTGCGTGCATACATTTCCCGCTCCTGCTCCTCCCCTTTGACTTTGCCGCGCAGTCTGAGTCTCTAGTGAGCAGTCCGTGTGTCTCTAGTGAGTAGTCCGTGTGTCTCTAGTGAGCAGTCCGTGTGTCTCTAGTGAGTAGTCCGTGTGTCTCTAGTGAGCAGTCCGTGTGTCTCTAGTGAGTAGTCCGTGTGTCTCTAGTGAGCAGTCCGTGTGTCTCTAGTGAGCAGTCCGTGTGTCTCTAGTGAGCAGTCCGTGTGTCTCTAGTGAGCAGTCCGTGTGTCTCTAGTGAGCAGTCCGTGTGTCTCTAGTGAGCAGTCCGTGTGTCTCTAGTGAGCAGTCCGTTCGTCTCCACTGAGCAGTCCGTGCGTCTCCACTGAAGAGTCCGTGCGTCTCTACAGAGCAGTCCGTGCGTCTCTACAGAGCAGTCCGTGCGTCTCTACTGAACAGTCCGTGCGTCTCTACTGAGCAGTCCTTGCGTTTCTACAGAGCAGTCCGTGCGTCTCTACTGAATAGTCCGTGCGTCTCTACTGAAAAGTCCGTGCGTCTCTGCTGACCAGTCTTTGTGTCTCTACCGAGCAGTCCGTGCGTCTCTACCGAGCAGTCCGTGCGTCTCTACCGAGCAGTCCGTGCGTCTCTACAGAACAGTCCGTGCGTCTCTACAGAGCAGTCCGTGCGTCTCTACTGAGCAGTCCGTGCGTCTCTACTGAAAAGTCCGTGCGTCTCTGCTGACCAGTCTCTGTGTCTCTACCGAGCAGTCCGTGCGTCTCTACCGAGCAGTCCGTGCGTTTCTACTAGAGGTGCAACGGTTCATCACTGATCCGTGATCCGTTCGGTTCAACGTCTTCGGTTCGGTACAGACGTGATCCGCGGTTTGATTTATGAAAAAAAAGTTGTGCGCACGTTGTTCAGTCCACACACAGCGCGGTCATTGCGAGCGGAGGAACGGAGGAGCTTGAAAGCCCTGCGTCATTTAAATCCCCAGTATGAGAGCATTTTGGCTTCACTGTAACTACACTGATAATTAATATTCGACAAAACTGTCACGATGTGTAAGCACTGTGGCACAAGAAAGACATGAGTGAAAAAAGCGTCTCAACGACCACCTATTGTCGCGGCATTTAAGCAGCTCCTTTACGCACAGTCAGACCGGGCTAAAGTCAACTCTCCCGCGCATCCTCAGCTGCGCTCACGACTGACGCTTGGACGTCCCGTGGAACCTATAATAGATCCATGAGCGGAACCGCTCACTTCATCACCGCAGACTGGGAGATGAAAAGTCTGGCGCTGAAGACACGCCCCCTCTACGACAGTCACACTGTCACACAGCGCAGGTACTGACACAAGCAGCGGAGGAATGGAAGACAAAGGCCCAGTATTAATATCCCAGTCACAACTGATAATGCCAAAAATTAAATAAATGCAGTGAATGAGGCTGGGCCCAGAATGGACCCCCTCCTTGGGAGAATCAGGAAGGTGGTGTAATATATGAGGGTAAATATCCTCATAAAGTGCCTTCTTATGTTGCACTTTGTGTTGTTTTTCATTAATTATGTTAAATAGACATAATTGGATGGATGGAATATGCCTTCCATCCATCCATCCATTTCCTTCCCCTTAATTCATTTCTAGGTCAGGGGGGGCAGTCAGAGCAGGTGCTGAGTCCACATGAGCTGTGTTTATTAAAAAGACAAAACTTTTTTTTAGAAAAATGAACCGAACCGTGGCCTCTGAACCGAGGTACGAACCGAACCGAGATTTTTTCAAACCGTTGCACCCCTAGTTTCTACCGAGCAGTCCGTGCGTCTCTACCGAGCAGTCCGTGCGTCTCTACAGAGCAGTCCGTGTCCGTGCGTCTCTACAGAGCAGTCCGTGCGTCTCTACAGAGCAGTCCGTGCGTCTCTACAGAGCAGTCCGTGCGTCTCTACTGAGCAGTCTGTGCGTCTCTATTGAACAGCCTCTGCGTCTCTACCGAGCAGTCCGTGCGTCTCTACAGAGCAGTCCGTGCGTCTCTACAGAGCAGTCCGTGCGTCTCTACAGAGCAGTCCGTGCGTCTCTACAGAGCAGTCCGTGCGTCTCTACAGAGCAGTCCGTGCGTCTCTACAGAGCAGTCTGTGCGTCTCTACTGAGCAGTCCGTGCGTCTCTATTGAACAGCCTGTGCGTCTTTACCGAGCAGTCCGTGCGTCTCTACCGAGCAGTCCGTGCGTCTCTACAGAGCAGTCCGTGCGTCTCTACAGAGCAACGTCTCTACTGAGCAGTCCGTGCGTCTCTACTGAGCAACGTCTCTACTGAACAGTCCGTGCGTCTCCACAGGAGCAGTCCGCACATGCATTTTGACGCTCAAACGTGCGTCACCACGAATTCTAAATTGACTTTTAAATGTTTGGTTTCTCCTTTATTTTCCTTGTAACTTTCAGAATGCTGTTCTGTTAATGACCAGATACAAATACAGCTCAGTGATAAAGCTAACATTGTTCTGTGTGTTTGATATTAAGGCCTTTTTATCTCAGGCGGTGGCCAGTGACACACCTGGACACGCAGTGGACCAGTGACACACCTGGACACGCAGTGGACCAGTGACACACCTGGACACGCCCTGGACCCGCCCTGGACCAGTGACACGCCTGGACCCGCCCTGGACCAGTGACACGCCTGGACCCGCCCTGGACCAGTGACACGCCTGGACCCGGCATGGACCAGTGACACACCTGGACACGCCCTGGACCAGTGACACGCCTGGACCCGCCATGGACCAGTGACACGCCTGGACCCGGGATGGACCAGTGTCACGCCTGGACTTGCCCTTGGACCAGTGACACGCCTGGACCCACCATGGACCAGTGTCAAGCCTGGACACGCCGTGGACCGACCAGTATCAATGAAGTACAATAATACTGGTAGGTACATCCTGAACACACTTACGGTCATCTCTTAAAACACTCTGCTGCATCATTTAGAGTGTCATAAACTTAGGTTTGAGTGAGGGTGTCCCTTTTAATGCATGTGAATATCTTACACTTAGTATAGTTAATGTCTCATTTTCAGTTTAGCTGGTCCTCACTAACACAGAGTCCTCTCAGTCCTGGTCTGTCCTGTGTGTCACACACACAGATGTTGTAAATGTCTCATATTGAATATAGATGTCCTCACTAACACAAAGTCCTCTCAGTCCTGGTCTGTCCTGTGTGTCACACACACAGATGTTGTAAATGTCTCATATTGAATATAGATGTCCTCATTAACACAGAGTCCTCTCAGTCCTGGTCTGTTCTGTGTGTCACACACACAGATGTTGTAAATGTCTCATATTGAATATAGATGTCCTCATTAACACAGAGTCCTCTCAGTCCTGGTCTGTTCTGTGTGTCACACACACAGATGTTGTAAATGTCTCATATTGAATATAGATGTCCTCATTAACACAGTGTCCTCTCAGTCCTGGTCTGTTCTGTGTGTCACATACACAGGGTGCTGTATGTGTAATAAAGTTGTTACCTGTTGTTGCTTTATTGGAACAGATAAATCTAGGGTTAATGAACATATTTGCAGTTTGAGGTTGTGTAGTGTAGTTAACAGTAGCTCAGTTGGTAGAGCATTGGCCTTAAGGCCAGAAGGTTGTGGGTTCAATTCCCACCTCTGCACCTTCTCCATCGACTCCCACTGATGACTGCTGTCGTTGTGTCCTTGGGCAAGACACTTAACCCCACTTTGCCCAAAGCCCCCACTGAAAGATCAAGGCTATGCTCACACTCAGAGAGCAGCCGCCCTCCTGTGGACTCACCACCTGCAGAGGGTCAGTGAGAGGCTGGTGCTATGAGACTTGGGTGGCAGCTCTGATTGCCACCCCCCTGACCCAGAAATGGATTAAAGGGTAGAAAATGGATGGATGGATGGATGGTTGTGTAGTGCTGTGGAAGAAAATGCTTGTCCCAGAGTTATTTACCTGCTGTTTACAGCTCTGGTGTATATTTCTCTTGTGTCAATTATCCTAACCAAACATGTCACAGGAATAGAATAGATGTGTTTCACTAGTTTATCTTAAAAGTTCCTTCTTTCCATCTTTTCATCTCCCTTGATGGATTTGAAGAATAATGGGGGCTGTTTAAATGTATATCTTAACAAGGAATAGGGGGTACAGATTATGTTTGCGGTCTTAAAAGGGGGCACAAGCACTGGTATATAGAAACTTCATCTATTTAGATGTTTTTGTCTTTTGTTGTTTTAATATTCTAATTCATCTCTCTTAATGTTTCAGAGTTGTTTCATCAAGGCGGATAACAGCAGTGAAGAAGCATCTGAGGCCTCTCATTGGTTTAACTGCCACCATTCAGCAGTGACATAAAGTCCAGGAAATGGAACACACCGTCTTGGAGAGTAGATCCATTCAAGATATTACAGATTTTGAGGTTTGGCCTTAAAGAGGTATTATAAGACTGAATTCTATATGGACATTTAAATGTTTGGTTTCACCTTTATTTTCCGTGTAACTTTCACAATGCTGTTCTGTTCATGACCAGATTAATGAGGTGAACAAATACAGCTCAGTGATAAAGCTAACATTGTTCTTTGTGTTTGATATTATGGCTTTTCTATCTCAGGTGGTGGCGGTCACTGGTCCATGGCGTGTCCAGGTGTGTCACTGGTCCATGGCGTGTCCAGGTGTGTCACAGGTCCATGACGTGTCCAGGCGTGTCACTGGTCCATGGCGTGTCCAGGCGTGTCACTGGTCCATGGAGTGTCACTGGTCCATGATGTGTCCACGGTGTGTCACAGGTCCATGACGTGTCCACGGCGTGTCACTGGTCCATGGCGTGTCACTGGTCCATGGCGTGTCCGGGGGTGTCACTGGTCCATGGCGTGTCCAGGCGTGTCACTGGTCCATGGCGTGTCCAGGCGTGTCACTGGTCCATGATGTGTCCACGGTGTGTCACAGGTCCATGACGTGTCCACGGCGTGTCACTGGTCCATGGCGTGTCCACGGCGTGTCACTGGTCCATGGCGTGTCCAGGTGTGTCACTGGTCCATGGCGTGTCCAGGCGTGTCACTGGTCCATGACGTGTCCACGGTGTGTCACAGGTCCATGACGTGTCCACGGCGTATCACTGTGTCACTGGTCCATGGCGTGTCCGGGCATGTCACTGGTCCATGGCGTGTCCAGGCGTGTCACTGGTCCATGACGTGTCCACTGTGTGTGATGGACCAGTGACACGCCTGGACACGTCATGGACCAGTGACACGCCATGGACACGTCATGGACCAGTGACACGCCTGGACACGCCATGGACCAGTGACACGCCTGGACACACCATGGACCAGTGACACGCCTGGACACGTCATGGACCAGTACACGCCTGGACACGCCACGCCTGGACACGCCATGAACCAGTGACACGCCCGGACACGTCAAGGCGTGTCACTGGTCCATGACGTGTCCAGGCGTGTCACTGGCCCATGGCGTGTCACTGGCCCATGGCGTGTCACTGGTCCATGGCGTGTCACTGGTCCATGACGTGTCACAGGTCCATGACGTGTCCAGGCGTGTCACTGGTTCATGACGTGTCCATGGCGTGTCACTGGTCAATGGCGTGTCACTGGTCCATGGCGTGTCCAGGGGTGTCACTGGTCCATGACGTGTCCACGGCGTGTCACTGGTCTAAGGTGTGTCCAGGTGTGAGCAGCCCGGACACGTCATGGACCAGTGACACGCCTGGACACGTCATGGACCAGTGACACGCTTGACGTGTCCGGGCGTGTCACTGGTTCATGGCGTGTCACTGGTTCATGGCGTGTCCAGGCGTGTCACTGGTCCATGGCGTGTCCAGGCGTGTCACTGGTCCATGGCGTGTCCGGGCGTGTCACTGGTCCATGACGTGTCTGGGCGTGTCACTGGTCCATGGCATGTCCAGGCGTGTCACTGGTCCATGACGTGTCCACGGTGTGTCACAGGTCCAGGACGTGTCCACGGCGTGTCACTGGTCCACGGCGTGTCACTGGTCCACGGCGTGTCACTGGTCCATGGCGTGTCCGGGCGTGTCACTGGTCCATGGCGTGTCCAGGCGTGTCACTGGTCCATGGCGTGTCCGGGCGTGTCACTGGTCCATGGCGTGTCCGGGCGTGTCACTGGTCCATGGCGTGTCCATGGCGTGTCACTGGTCCATGGCGTGTCCATGGCGTGTCACTGGTCCATGGCGTGTCCAGGCGTGTCACTGGTCCATGACGTGTCCACGGTGTGTCACAGGTCCATGACGTGTCCACAGCGTGTTACTGGTCCACGGCGTGTCACTGGTCCATGGCGTGTCCGGGCGTGTCACTGGTCCACGGTGTGTCACAGGTCCATGACGTGTCCACGACGTGTCACTGGTCCATGGCGTGTCCGGGCGTGTCACTGGTCCATGACGTGTCCAGGCGTGTCACTGGTCCATGACGTGTCCATGGCGTGTCACTGGTCCATGGCGTGTCCAGGCATGTCACTGGTCCATGACGTGTCCACGCCGTGTCCAGGTGTGAGCAGCCCGGACACGTCATGGACCAGTGAGTTGCCTGGACACGCCATGGACCAGTGACACGCCTGGACACGCCATGGACCAGTGACACGCCAAGGACCAGTGACACGCCTGGACATGTCATGGACCAGTGACACGCCTGGACACGTCATGGACCAGTGACACGTCATGGACCAGTGACACGCCATGGACCAGTGACACGCCATGGACCAGTGACACGCCTGGTCACTGGCCCATGGCGTGTCACTGGTCCATGCCGTGTCCAGGCGTGTCACTGGTCCATGACGTGTCACAGGTCCATGACGTGTCCACGGCGTGTCACTGGTCCATGGCGTGTCCGGGCGTGTCATTGGTCCATGGCGTGTCCAGGCGTGTCACTGGTTCATGACGTGTCCATGGCGTGTCCAGGCGTGTCACTAGTCCATGACGTGTGTTATAGAATTATATACCCCATGAAGGAGGAAACTCAAAGGTCCTTTGTCTGATCAAAAGCGTAAGTTTATTGTTAACGCACAGTGCGGAGAGTCAGCATATGCACACAACGGCAGCATGCTCAGCTCTGGGGGCCAGAGCCCCCAGCTTCCTGTATACAAAACACACACCAAAGATAGTCACGCCCACAACGGAGCGGAGGGGGCCACCGGTGAGGAGGCGCACAGGAAGCGCCGGCGCCATCCCCTGTGGTGGCAGTGGCATGGGGTGTGAACAGACAGACAATGGTGGAAGTGCAGGTCATACAGATGCAAGACGGAAAGACACAAGGGTGTGACAGACAGCAGGGACCTTCACAAAGCTCAGCATGGCGTCAGAAGGTCGTCCGCACTGACAAAAGGCCTTTGACGTCCGTGTATTTGCTGCGGCTGGTTTTAATGTAATTACTCCAAAAACTGTCACCACACGTGTCCACGGCGTGTCACTGGTCTAAGGTGTGTCCAGGTGTGAGCAGCCCGGACACGTCATGGACCAGTGACACGCCTGGACACGCCATGGACCAGTGACACGCCTAGACACGTCATGGACCAGTGACACGCCTGGACACATCATGGACCAGTGACACGCCATGGACACGTCATGGACCAGTGACACGCCTGGACACGCCATGGACCAGTGACACGCCTGGACACGCCATGGACCAGTGACACGCCTGGACACGTCATGGACCAGTGACACGCCTGGACACGCCACGCCTGGACACGCCATGGACCAGTGACACGCCTGGACACGCCACGTTACTGGTCCATGGCGTGTCCGGGCGTGTCACTGGTCCAGGGCGTGTCACTGGTCCATGACATGTCCAGGCGTGTCACTGGTTCATGACGTGTCCATGGCGTGTCACTGGTCAATGGCGTGTCACTGGTCCATGGCGTGTCCAGGGGTGTCACTGGTCCATGACGTGTCCACGGCGTGTCACTGGTCTAAGGTGTGTCCAGGTGTGAGCAGCCCGGACACGTCATGGACCAGTGACACGCCTGGACACGTCATGGACCAGTGACACGCCTTGACATGTCCGGGCGTGTCACTGGTTCATGGCGTGTCACTGGTTCATGGCGTGTCCAGGCGTGTCACTGGTCCATGGCGTGTCCAGGCTTGTCACTGGTCCATGGCGTGTCCAGGCGTGTCACTGGTCCATGGCGTGTCCGGGCGTGTCACTGGTCCATGGCGTGTCTGGGCGTGTCACTGGTCCATGGCATGTCCAGGCGTGTCACTGGTCCATGACGTGTCCACGGTGTGTCACAGGTCCAGGACGTGTCCACGGCGTGTCACTGGTCCACGGCGTGTCACTGGTCCATGGCGTGTCCGGGCGTGTCACTGGTCCATGGCGTGTCCAGGCGTGTCACTGGTCCATGACGTGTCCACGGTGTGTCACAGGTCCATGACGTGTCCACAACGTGTCACTGGTCTATGGCGTGTCCGGGCGTGTCACTGGTCCATGACGTGTCCAGGCGTGTCACTGGTCCATGGCGTGTCCAGGCGTGTCACTGGTCCATGATGTGTCCACGGTGTGTCACAGGTCCATGACGTGTCCACGGCGTGTCACTGGTCCATGGCGTGTCACTGGTCCATGGCGTGTTCCGGGCGTGTCACTGGTCCATGGCGTGTCCAGGCGTGTCACTGGTCCATGACGTGTCCACGGTGTGTCACAGGTCCATGACGTGTCCACAGCGTGTTACTGGTCCACGGCGTGTCACTGGTCCATGGCGTGTCCGGGCGTGTCACTGGTCCACGGTGTGTCACAGGTCCATGACGTGTCCACGACGTGTCACTGGTCCATGGCGTGTCCGGGCGTGTCACTGGTCCATGACGTGTCCAGGCGTGTCACTGGTCCATGACGTGTCCATGGCGTGTCACTGGTCCATGGCGTGTCCAGGCATGTCACTGGTCCATGACGTGTCCACGCCGTGTCCAGGTGTGAGCAGCCCGGACACGTCATGGACCAGTGAGTCGCCTGGACACGCCATGGACCAGTGACACGCCTGGACACGCCATGGACCAGTGACACGCCAAGGACCAGTGACACGCCTGGACACGTCATGGACCAGTGACACGCCTGGACACGTCATGGACCAGTGACACGTCATGGACCAGTGACACGCCATGGACCAGTGACACGCCATGGACCAGTGACACGCCTGGACACGTCATGGACCAGTGACACGCCTTGACGTGTCCGGGCGTGTCACTGGTTCATGGCGTGTCCAGGCGTGTCACTGGTCCATGGCGTGTCCAGGCGTGTCACTGGTCCTTGGCGTGTCCAGGCGTGTCACTGGTCCATGGCGTGTCCAGGCATGTCACTGGTCCATGACGTGTCCACGCCGTGTCCAGGTGTGAGCAGCCCGGACACGTCATGGACCAGTGAGTCGCCTGGACACGCCATGGACCAGTGACACGCCTGGACACGCCATGGACCAGTGACACGCCAAGGACCAGTGACACGCCTGGACACGTCATGGACCAGTGACACGCCTGGACACGTCATGGACCAGTGACACGTCATGGACCAGTGACACGTCATGGACCAGTGACACGCCATGGACCAGTGACACGCCATGGACCAGTGACACGCCTGGACACGTCATGGACCAGTGACACGCCTGGACACGCCATGAACCAGTGACACGCCCGGACACGCCAAAATATATCGTAGACAATAATTTCGTGAAAGCCAATTTGAAGATATGCTTTATTGTATTACCTTTTTTATTTTCCAATACATATTACAATTAGAGAAGGAAAGATGCCCATTGGTCTAATGTGTGCCTAAAAAGCCAATCACTGCTTTATTTGTACATTTCAGTAAATATTGAGCCTTTTTGGATGTGTTTTTTCTGTGTTTCTTGAATCTGATTTTTAATGTTAATATATGTTAGTGCATGTTTTGCAAAGATGTGTGTAGCACTTCAGAAAATAAAAAGCTTCATTTTTGATCTACACTGTTTCTTATCTATAGATGCCATGGCAAGCAAAACATTGCAGATCATTTTGTGTAACCATTTTTGATTTTAAAGATATCGTGACAATGTCGTTATCGGGAGTTGGGTATAAAGTATCAAGATATTTATTTTTGTCCATATCGCCCACCCCTAGATGTGATGCATGCTTGCAGATTGGCAGTTGAGTTCTGGTGGATACAGATATAGTTTGTGTGTGATTGACACGTCTCTGTTGGTAAGAGGCAGTTATGTCTGTAAACCTTTTGTTGCTTGATCTCATTTTCTTTTAGAATGGAGTGATTATAGATGTACCATCTATTTAAGTGCAGGATAGAGACGGTGAATCCAGTTGAAACTAGGAATAACTGGAATTCAGTGAAGGTATCAAGGGAATACATGACAAAGTTTGGCAGTAGACTGAAGAATAAGCTCTACACGTGTTTGCAGAGACAATTCAAACTCTTAAAAAAGCAATCCTCCATAGATTATTAATTATTATAATGATGTGCCTCAGTCTCTTTGGCCTCATTATCCATGTGTCCTTTCAAACCAGGTTATACACAGTGTATGTGTGTGCGGACCAGGCCTCACAGACCATGTGTCCTTTCAAACCAGGTTATACACAGTGTATGTGTGTGCGGACCAGGCCTCACAGACCATGTGTCCTTTCAAACCAGGTTATACATAGTGTGTGTGTGTATGATGACATCACTGACCTTGTAAACCACACTGTCCTTATAGACCGTGTTTTTGAAAAGTCTTTACAAACCCCTGAAAAGTCTTGAAAACAGTCATTTTTTATATCTCAGTGCAGCAAAGGAAATCTTTAAATTTTAAGCCGTGTATAGGTTCTGTGATTTTTTTCATGATCATTGATATGATTTTTGAGGCTCTAGCACCACGGGAACCCAGTGTCCCCGTATACCTATGTACAGTCTGGTTTAAAGGGATTTTAGAAAAAATGTCCTTACAACGTCTCAAACGGGTATGTGTGTGTGTGTGTGTGTGTGTGTGTGTGTGTGTGTGTGTGTGTGTGTGTGTGTTGCACCACAGACACTGTGCAATAGCACCACATTAAACACTTTTCTTTGGCCCTGGAGCGACACACGCCCCCTGCGCCCCTCGACCACAGCCCGGGGGCTAGGATGAAAGGTTTAACACAAGCGGAGAATACGAAAGTATGCGACTGCTGTAGAGACGTGTGTGAAAATGCACATCACAACGGGCGCAGCAGGAAAACTTTGTGTGACGCACAATATCACGTCCCCACCACACCTCACCCTCCACTCCCCACACTGACCCCCTCATCTGGGCTTTACAACCGTGCTCAGGCCCACCTCTCCCAACCCAGGACTGAGGCTGTAGACCCAGGACTGAGGCTGTAGACCCAGGACTGAGGCTGTAGATCCAGGACTGAGGCTGTAGACCCAGGACTGAGGCTGTAGACCCAGGACTGAGGCTGTAGACCCAGGACTGAGGCTGTAGATCCAGGACTGAGGCTGTACACCCAGGACTGAGGCTGTAGATCCAGGACTGAGGCTGTAGATCCAGGACTGAGGCTGTAGACCCAGGACTGAGGCTGTAGATCCAGGACTGAGGCTGTAGACCCAGGACTGAGGCTGTAGATCCAGGACTGAGGCTGTAGATCCAGGACTGAGGCTGTAGATCCAGGACAGATCAAACTGTATACAAAATCAAAAAGTCAATAAGATTCAACAATATACAGTAATTTCATAAAAACACACAAAAACAGATAAGTACAAAATGAACTCTTGCTGGCTCGGTGCTCACATACCGCGCCCTCCCTCTCCACAGCTGTACTCAGACTGCAGGTGCATTGTGGGTAATGTGTCCGGGGGTCCTGAGGCTGCAGCTGGACCGTGCCCCTCCTCCTGTCACAGAATCCCGCTGTTCGCCGTCCTGGTCACCACAGCCTCGGTCTTCATGCTGCTCCTCGCCATGCCAGCGATCACCGCCACGCTCAGGTCAGTGCTGGTCTGAGGGGCCGGCCGCATCTGGTCCTGGACTCACGGGTTCGCACCTGGTCCTGGACTCGTCTGTGGTCCTGAGTTAGCGAGGCAGCATTGATCTCGCAGGTTAGCATTGAGCTAGCTGGCCTCTGGTCCTGGACTCTGAGAGTTTTCTGCCCAAACCTGAGACAACAGACCAAGGGGCAAAACCTTCAGTCTCTCGATGTACAAAGTGCAGAGTCAGACCCATAGGCTGTATACAGATAGACACTGCTAACCTGCTAGTTTAATGCAAACCCGCTAGCTCAATGAAGCCACGCCCCCTTTGGACCATGTGATTGCAACCCAGCAATAGTCAGATCTGAAAACTGTTTCTTTCTGTTTTCAGATGTGTGGCTGAGGAAGACAAGTCCTTCGCCCTCGGGATCCAGTGGATCCTGGGCCAGACTCTGGGTAGATCTCATGGGACCCTCAACAGCAGCAGTAGTAGTGGTAGCAGCAGTAGTAGCCAGTGACGTGCGGTGAGGTTGGTGATTGGTGAGACACTGACTTCACCCCAATCAGATACACATATATCATATAAATCAACTGGACCTACAGTGGCTTATTCACAATTTGTTTGGCTACAGCAGAATTTGTTTCATGTCATTGTTTGCTCATCCCAAACACAAAAGATTGTAAAAAGCACATTTACAGTAACAGTTTGTTATGGTCCTTACCTCACTGTAAACATGACCTGCACAGACCTCTTCAGTTCAGACCAGTTGCATGTTTAAGTCCAGATAATAGTTTGAGCGCAGATATGTAATCCCCCATTTGGAAAAAGTTCAATGTGTTTAAAAAGTAAAACAAAACGGGTGTTTCGCTAGCTGCAGCCGAGTCTCGGGCGCATCCAATTTCTAATATCAACCTTCTTAGCCTTCACCTCTCTTCCTTATAATTCCTATCATCATTGGTAGCATAAAATTACAATAAGTGAAATTTAAATAATCTTACAATGTGTTACATGTACTTTAGCCAAACCTGTAGCGGCCCTTAGCAGAGGAAGAACAAGGAGCTTTCAGATGAAATTGGATGCAGCCGAATTCTGGGCTCACATGCGCCCCCCTGAGGCTGGCCTCATTTGGTGATGTTACAAGCCGTGGTTTGAGCGCGATTAAGACCCATATTTGTATCAAAAACACAATTTATAACCCATCCTCTCAGCTGTAGACATGTTGATTGTAAAAGAAATATGTTTGAACTTTGTAAACCGCGAAAAACAGAGAAAACAGTTCGATAGCAGCGCACGGGCTCCTTCCTCTGTGAACTACCGGCATGTACTTTTACGTCTCCAAGTGAGGCTCGTCTCCCTGCGCACCGCTCTGTCAAATGTGAGAAAATATGACGAAAATAAGCGATTTCAAGGTAAAAATTAATGAAATAAGGCAAAGTTACATAAAAATAATACAAAAACATAAATCACTTGATATAGTGACCAAGTATTATGATTTCCATTTTATCCTTTTTTCTTCCCATGATCGTAGGCGAGGCCAGGCCTCATCTGCCTCATCTGACCGCACGTCACTGGTAGTAGCAGTAGTAGCAGCAGCAGTATCAGTTGTAGCAGCAGCAGCAGCAGCAGCAGTAGTATCAGCAGTACTTATACATCCTTGTCCCTTGTGTGTTCCCAGGGGCCATCCCTGGGCCCATCGTGGTGGGGGCCCTCATAGACCAGGCCTGTCTGCTGCAGAGTGAAGGCTCCTGTTTACTGTACGAGAACTCTGAGCTCAGTCACTTCATGGTCATCGCCTCCATGGCCTACGCGGTATGTGACATCACACTGTGACATCATAACTGTGACATCACACTGTGACATCATAACTGTGACATCACACTGTGACATCACACTGTGACATCACACTGTGACATCACACTGTGACATCACACTGTGACATCACACTGTACGGAACATTTCAAGAGATCCTTTGTTCCTCCGGCTGTCAGACTGTACGACAACAAAAAAAGAGTCTTCTGCTGCAGGACACCTGAATTTCTCCTACTGTGTCCGTAGGTGTGTGTGTGTGTGTGCGTGTGCGTGTGCGTGTGTGTGTGCGTGCGTGCGTGTGTGTGTGTGCGTGCGTCTCAGTCTGCTGATTGTAGAAACTAAACCAGACCTAGAAAGACACAGTCCTTCAGACAAACGACTGTTTTTAACCTGGATTTGAACAGTGTCAGAGAAAAAGTCTGTCTCACCTTTTCAGGAAGACTGTTCCGGATATTATCTGAAACGCTGCCTCCCCATGTTTAGTTCAGAGTCTGGGACCAGCAGGAGGCCAGTCCCTGTGCTCCTCAGAGTCCCAGCAGGAGGCCAGTCCCTGTGCTCCTCAGAGTCCCAGCAGGGGGCCAGTCCCTGTACTCCTCAGAGTCCCAGCAGGGGGCCAGTCCCTGTGCTCCTCAGAGTCCCAGCAGGAGGATAGTCCCTGTGCTCCTCAGAGTCCCAGCAGGAGGCCAGTCCCTGTGCTCCTCAGAGTCCCAGCAGGAGGCCAGTCCCTGTGCTCCTCATAGACCCAGCAGGAGGCCAGTCCCTGTGCTCCTCATAGACCCAGCAGGAGGCCAGTCCCTGTGCTCCTCAGAGTCCCAGCAGGAGGCCAGTCCCTGTGCTCCTCAGAGTCCCAGCAGGAGTCCAGTCCCTGTGCTCCTCATAGACCCAGCAGGAGGATAGTCCCTGTGCTCCTCAGAGTCCCAGCAGGAGGCCAGTCCACAGGAGGTTTCTCTGTCTCTGACAACACAGTCTTGATGTTTCAGCGGAGCTTCAGAAAAGTGGGGTTAAATGTCTTGCCCAAGGACACAGGGATAGAATACATCAGTGCAGTGGGAGTCAATGGAGTAGGTCTTGCAATGGGATTGAACCCAAACCTTCAGGATCACAGGTCAATGCTCTCCCAAATGACACACTGCCGCCGTCTCTGTCAGGTTCTTTGTCAGGTTCTCTCTCAGGTTCTCTCTCAGGTTCTCCGTAGGTTCTCTGTCAGGTTCTCTGTAGGTTCTCTGTCAGGTTCTCTGTAGGTTCTCTGTCAGGTTCTCCGTAGGTTCTCTGTAGGTTCTCTGTCAGGTTCTCTGTAGGTTCTCTGTCAGGTTCTCTGTAGGTTCTCTGTCAGGTTCTCCGTAGGTTCTCTGTAGGTTCTCTGTCAGGTGAGGTCGAGCTGTTTTAGTTTACATTGAGTTCTACGGGCAAAATTTCTGGGTAACGTGAATTTAGTCTTGTTTAGTCTGCAGTGCCGCAGGTCCATGGGTCCTTCAGCTACAAGCTAAAAATACACTATTCAGTTATCATAATAGATCTATGCACAGTTCCCCGGCCCCAAAAAGTACTTCCTGTTTTCTAGATAAGTACTTCCTTTTTTCACTTCTGACCTTAACTCTCCTCACAGGCGGCAGGATCCGTGTTCTTCACGTTAGCGCTCGTGTTCCACGGTCCTCCTCCAGAAACTCCTCCCCTTCCAGAGGCCCCTCCCCTTCCAGATGCTCCTCCTCCAGAGGCTCCTGCAGGGGGCCCCCCTGAGCTGCAACAGACCTCATTTTAACGCTAAAAAACAGCGCTCCCTGTGGCTCATTATTATAAATTCTTGGACTGCTGCTCAAGTTATTAATCAGTGGATGTTTTCCTCAGCCTGCACCACGCTGCCAAATCATTCATGTCCCGGTAAAGATAGCGTGTGAAAGCTGCAGTAATGAGACACGTTTAGAGAGTATGGTACAGAGGGAGCAGCCCTGATCAGCAGGAGGGAGGGGTCCCTCAGGGGTCAACACTGGGACCCACTGGATTCACACTGTTCACACATGAAAGATGAGAAATATCAGATTGAATGAATCTCACTTATGCTTTTAATCACTGTTACAATGTAAAATAAAATACAACCAGGAATCAAAAAATGATTAATGAAAAGTGTATTTTATGTGAGGAGCTGTCTGGTCTGAATCATGTTCAAATTACTGGGTTTAAATTGCAATTATTTAACTAACTTCACTGAACACGTGTGTTTTAGACGGTAGTGTTTGGTATTTTTAAGCTGTGTTCAGCCCGGATCATACAGCGAGATTCACTGCAAAGTAACGTGACGTCCGTCCATGCGAGGAAGTGCCTGGACGTTGCGGTACATTTATCCCGCAGCAGACGCCTTATTGCGGCACGGAGGAGGCGGTGGGTACAGTGGCTAAAGCAGAGAAAGAATGAGATGAACATCCTCCCTCCACATACGTTCGGCAACCAATCAGGGAGCAGCAAAGTGGTCACGAAGACATGTCCCGGTCCAAACCAGGAAAACAACCAAAACAGGAGCTAAACCATGACTAAACCATGACTAAACCATGACTAAACCAGGACTAAACCAGGACTAAACCAGAACTAAACCAGTAGCTAAACCAGGAGCTAAACCAGGACTAAACCATGACTAAATCAGGACTAAACCATGACTAAACCAGGACTAAACCAGGACTAAACCAGGAGCTAAACCAGGATTAAACCATGACTAAATCAGGACTAAACCAGGACTAATCCAGGACTGGGGGCGGGGGTCAGTGCTTGTGAACATATGTCTTCACCCTGAGTTTCTACTGTGACCTTAAACTGCTGATACAGAAGTACCCACCACTTCCAGCCTGTGTTTTTCCCCAACGCAGCAGGACGTCAGAGTGACTAAACTCATACGGCTGATACTTAGTGAACGTGCGTTCATGCATCAACGGTCTGAACACAGCTTAACTCATTGAGTGCCACAAACGTAATTATACGGAAAAGCTTTTTATCCTACATCTTGAAAGCAGACACCCTGACACACATTGTGTGTACATTTGGGAATGCTATGATAAATGTAACTGCTTATATGACAATCTAAACACTTCAACGTGTGTTATGAAATTGTTCATAATGCAGCTTTGAGTGGTTTGCCGCTTTGCCTCATATAGTGCTCCTGGGCGGAGGTCAAAACATATATTTACGTGGGTCTGTCACTAGGTGGCAGTCTTGATTCATCCTTTAGCAGAAACTTCACTGATGCCGTCTGTGCACTTTTGCCAGACACGCTTGATGAGCGCTTTTTACATCGAAGAAGTGAGTCAACTTTAGGCTTGCTTTTTTTGCTCAGGAGGGAGGCGCTCAGGAGGGAGGTGCTCAGGAGGGAGGTGCTCAGGAGGAGGCGCTGAGGCTGAGAGATCACCACGTGCTGATCTGAGCGGAATAGTAAGAGATAGGGACCAACCGAGTCACGCGTGTAAGCGGTCGTGTATTCCTGCCGCTGTCTGTGAACAAGCGGAGGATCATTTTCTGAGTGTATTTTATTTTGTATTATATTCCATTTGTATTCTAATTGTACATTTATATTTTTGTTGTTGCAATAAATCTTCATATGGATAAAATTTCATCTCCAGTGTTCTTTGTGAAGGAGGTATAAATTCATATAGATTGAATTATTCCTTTATACTGTAAATGTGTTTTTTGTAGCCTACCCCGTGTCTATAAGATATATGTTTCATAAAAGGGTCTCTATCTCCTTTTCTAGGAAATTCACAGGGATTTTTATGAAAGTTTCGATATTTTGCTCAGGAAGGTTTTCACCATCATAAAGTTCAAAGCCTCACCTTTCAAACGCAGTATAGCATGTGATTACGGCAGTAACACAGAATAAGCTGTTGAACAAGGCTGGACTCAATGAGTGAACACATGCAGGAAACCAGCTGCTCGGCGAGCTAACACAGGCGAGCTAACACCAGGACATTGTGCTCGGCGAGCTAACACCAGCACATTGTGCTCGGCGAGCTAACACCAGCACATTGTGCTCGGCGAGCTAACACCAGCACATTGTGCTCGGCGAGCTAACACAGCACATTGTGCTCGGCGAGCTAACACGGCACATTGTGCTCGGCGAGCTAACACAGCACATTGTGCTCGGCGAGCTAACACGGCACATTGTGCTCGGCGAGCTAACACGGCACATTGTGCTCGGCGAGCTAACACGGCACATTGTGCTCGGCGAGCTAACACGGCACATTGTGCTCGGCGAGCTAACACAGCACATTGTGCTCGGCGAGCTAACACGGCACATTGTGCTCGGCGAGCTAACACGGCACATTGTGCTCGGCGAGCTAACACAGCACATTGTGCTCGGCGAGCTAACACAGCATCCTCCCCTGAGGTGTGAGAACCACCTCTGGAGATATCGCATGTGCAGCAACCCCAGACTCACCACAGGGTGGGCCGCTGCCATCATGCCCAAGAGTGACCAAATCAGCCGCGGTTGGACCTGAGGTTCGCCCAGAACGATCCGGCCCAGGTTCTGAACCGCCGCTTGTCTCTCCGACAAAAGTGCAAAAGTGAAGCCATCATGCTCCTGGAACCTAAGACCAGTCCCAGTTATGAGATCTCCTAGGCCGGGCACAGGGAGCTTTTGTCCATGAGCCTGTGCCTCCTCTCAAGAGGAGGTCTGGATCAGTCAGTCAGTCAATATCCTGAGGCCCTGACGCCGAAGGGGTTCTAGCGCCGCCTCCACGCACTTGGAGAAGGTGCGGGAGGCTGCGGGAGTAGCCGAACAGGAGACGGCAATACTCGAAGCACCCCCCCCCCCTCCTACAGAAAACTGGAGGAACTTCCTGTGCCCCGGGACAATGAGTATGTGGAAATATGTCCCTGAGGTCCAATGAGGTCATCCAGTCCCCGGGCGTGAGCTCAACAGTAGCATGCGAAACGACTGCTTGGCTACGCAGCCATTTATTTGCTTCCCGTCCACATTTGGGCCACTGATACACAAGGTCATCCAATAAGAGAGAATAATCCCGTTTCAACTTTTCACTTGTGTTGTCATAGACGTCTACTGCCCCCACTTGGATCAACAATCTTTTTACCCCGCCGGTCTCAGACAGAAGCCTCGGAGCCAACCGCCTTATCTCATCCACTTTGGCCGAGTGCACTGAGTGAACCTTCAGATTACGCATGTTTACATTCCTACATTCGCAGAATCCCCGATAAAGAGTGACTCAGCTGCATTTGACCTTGACTGAGACTGAGACTGGGACTGAGACACTACTGCTGATTCCTCTTCCAAAAGTGGTGAATAGCAGTTGCTTGTAATTAAAGATTTTTGCTGTGGCATTATGACACTCTTGTTATCATTAGCTTTGCCTTGTTTGGGCTTGGCACCATATGTGTTCCAACAATTGTCTCTGTTGATTTTGGGAAATGAAATAGCGTCATCATAACTTACGTTCTGTCCATTTGGTCCATTTCCTTTCACTGGTATTGTTGTGTTCAGCCCCAATTCTGATTCAAGCACAAACATTCGGTCTTGACGAAGTTTTAGCTCCTGTTTGAGTGAAAAACAGCCGTCGCAAAGTTTTGTTCTTGTTTTCCGTCCTCCCGACATGTTGTAAGTTAGGTAAATTCCACAAGTCTTGTGTTGAAGTATGCAAAAAGGAGTAATCCATGTTTTGTGGAATAAAAATGTAAGCAAAAATGATTAAAGGAGATTAAAAAGCAGCAAGAGAGGAGCAGCAAGAGAATGCGACTGCTCTGTCCAGTGTAAAATGTGCTTTAGTATCTCTCTGTTGGAAAGTTTCAAATCCAACTAATGCGTGTATTTAATTCCTTTTCAGGTATTTTCCTAAAAAATGACACCCGTTAGAGAAATATATTTTAGTAAAATACACACTCCATAAGTTCTCCACTTGATACGAGCAGTTTCCACAGCTGGAGTGTGTGTGTGTGTGTGTGTGTGTGTGTGTGTGTGTGTGTGTGTGTGTGTGTGCACTTGTTTTAAACTCCTGGTGGGGTCCATAGCCTGAGATTCCACTCACGTCATGGGGACTGGTTTTACGTCGTGGGGCCCGAACACCGGACCCCACTGGTCCAAGCTTAAAAATTCACGGGTAATGCTTTTCCAACGGAAAAGACCCCTGGAGGTTCACTTTCTTGAAAAAAGTGTGTTATGTGTCTAAACCCTGGTGGTGGGTTGCGGAATATCAGGGAGGGGCACACTGGGGCAATTTCAGTCCAGCAGGCTGGAGCCAATCGTGGAGCAGCACAACAGAGGCTGGAGCCAATCGTGGAGCAGCACAACAGAGGCTGGAGCCAATCATGGAGCAGCACAACAGAGGAAGTCAGGTGTCAGGCTAGAAAAGGTGCAAGTGTGTGGTTCATTAGGCTGCAGCCAATCACAGAGCAGCACACTGAAGCGCACGCTTACAAACCACTGGTAAGTGCTGACTACAAGTCATGACTTAAAATTGTTATATAGAATTATTACAAATTATTTGTTGTTGTGCAGCTTAGTCAAGAGTCCCTAATTGATGAAGTCGACTCAGATTCTGACGATTTAACTGTCAAGAAGAAACCTGTAAAAAAGTATGGATAAAGAAAAATCAAAAACACTTTTCTTCAAGACTCGGAAAGTGACGAACCAAAGGCAAATAAGATTGTTATCATGCAGCTGCAAAAGAAGAAAAATGGGGGGCGAGTTTACAGCAAGAGACACTTCTGCCTCTACTGTTCAATGTCCTGCCACAAAATGTCCCGTCATTTGACTAGAAAACATGG